GCGATAACAGTAATGAAAAAGCCAATTGCCAAACTTGCTGTAAGCGCGTCCAACCGGGTGATTTGGATGGACAGACCGAATAAACCCCCAGTGGACCAGGGGGTACGATGTGCAGCACTGCAGACTCAAGAGACTTGAGAATCGAGAGGCGGAAGAGGAAGACGGGCTTAGAACTGTGGTGGGGTGTGGCCACTCTGCCCACTTACACCCCACTGGGGGTTGGGCTGGGATCCACAGACCGGAGCATGGGATGGGATGGCATGGGATGGCATGGAGCAAGTAGAGGAATGTCCCGTGTCGGGAGGCATCTGCTATGACCTTGGTATACTGCGTAAGAGTGAGTACCTGGGAAGATGTTGACTTTTCGTAGCATTGGCAGCGTCCATGGTCACATCCAAGAGGATATGCAGAAAATGAATGTAGAAGGACCCTTTGGTTTGCTCATGCTTCCTCTCAAAGTTCGCCGCGACCTCGGACGTATCCACGGCAGCTTCCATCCACTTTCTTCTCAATGTACCGCGTACGGCTACGGTGTACATCCCTCGCCTTGTGATCTAGGTGAGTGTGGGAAGACCCATAACCCCCGGGGCGTCAGGGCCAGAGGAGGAGTGTGATGAGGTAAGAGGCGACACGGGTGACCGTTGAAGAGGCGTGTTTGTGTGTATTGGATGTTGTGTGTGTACGGGTACTTGTGCAAGGCAAGACAGGCCGAGTTTGAGCTTTGGGTTCAGAGCCTGAGTGTGTGGTTTGTTGTTATTATTTTCCCATCTTTATTTGGTTTTGGACTAGCGGGATTGAGTGAGCACCAGCTAAGAAAAAAAAGATTGATAAAAAAAACCCCCCAAGCTGGAAGGAAAGACCAAAAAATGACACAGGAACCAGCTGCGGTCAAACCCGAAAACGGGCGGGGCACACTAGCTTTACGTCACCTGGTTGGACCTTGGAGGCAAAGCCGCACAGGCTACGGAGTATAGCACAGGCCTACACAAGAAGAGCCGAAGAGGAAAGAAAGCAGGTAAAATGCGAGCCAGCTAAGGTACGGTAGTAGGTAGCTGCTAGGCCCGTTGGGTCTTTCCAGGTTGTCGCTCCCGAAGATCCTGCCTCGCCTGCCTTGCCCTTGTCCACCGCATCCGCACCGAGATCCAGCCTGCCACCGCCGATGCTCTCTCACACACACGACACCTCACCCGATATGTACTTGCTCCGTACGGACTACGGATACCATGATACCTAATAAGCGAAAGGTACCTTTGTACACATCTTGGCAGCCATCAGCTTGGATAGTTCCCGTTGCCAATTCGGCCAAAGTCGTACCATGTGCTGCGGATGATGTGCGAGGGCACGCGGGGGGAAGGAATCCAAAGTACTCTGAACTGCAACTGTGACAGTCACAGACAGAATGAAAGTCACGCATTGAAGGGCAGTCTTTTTTATTTTTATGTTACTTTCAAGCACTGGCCATCATTCGCCATTTCCGCCTCAACTCCAGAATGCTGTGAAGGCAGTGTACTGTGCAAGACAGTCGTGTAATGGTAAGTGTATACAACAGAGCTCAAGCTTCAGCTCTCAAACTCCAAATCCCACGAGGCACAATCTGTCTCCATGGTTCAACACATGCAAGACAGGCAGTCCCCTTCCACCGAGACTCTTTTAGAAACCTCCCATCTCTGCCATGCCTGGATCCCCCGCCTTGTGCTTCTCTGCCTGACTGATCCCCCTTTGGCCCAATCTCTCCCAAACAATGGCCCTCCGTATCGTCGTCTCCCTCTCCCGGCCGAGGTCAGCCGCGTGCAGTCAATCAGTTGCAGTCATTGTCTTTGAGTAGAGAGCTCAGGCATTCCATGTCCTGCTGACTCGCCCCGCCAATTGCGGCTGCAGAAAGAGCAACACCCCCATGTCCCAACCTGCAGCAAGGCGAGCGGAGGGGAAAGGAGGAGAAAGAGCACGATGCTGCAGACTGCAGACAGACTCCAGTCCTCCGCCGCTGCTGGTTTGGTCTGGCCGCTCCTCCCCTCCCCTTCCCCTTCGGCGTGCCTTCCTGTCAAGAAGGAAAAAAAAAAAAAAAAAAGATACGAGTGACCAACAAGCGACCGAAAAGAAGGTGACGGATGGATCGTCGGACCAATCTCTCGCCAGCATTCCTCCTCATCCTCCCCATAAAATAACCCCGCTGCTACCCACACGGCACCTTTTTTTCTCGACTGAGGAGCCCAGTGTGAGGCTCCACTCGTGGCATGCCACCTTTTGCCCGCCTGCCGCCCATGGACGAGCTTAAAGGAAGTACAAGAACCGCCGAAACAAATCTCATCCAGATCTAGCCAATCACCGTCCCTAAAACGAAAACGTGCCAGATCTATTGACTCCCAGCAAACCCGCACTTCCGGCATGGCCTAGCTCCCTCCCATGCACGTTGTGGCTGCATGAAGGGGGCTTGCGTTGACGAACGTCCAGCGACGGCCGACGCGACGACAGAAAAAAAAAGAAAAAAAAACTTTGAAAAATCGTCCATCGTACGGCAAATTAACTAGCTATGCGAGGAATTCCACACTAACCCTTGGTCCTTCCCGCATGCCGAGCCATCGCCAAGCCTTTTGGCAATTTTCCTTTGCAGCCTGTGCTAGCCGCCATCGAGAAAGTGCTCGCGTGCCCGTTTTCCTCTTTTTTCCTCAGTCGCAACGTCGTCCCCTCCCCTCAGCTATAGCCTGTAGCACCGCAGCTGGTCGTCGTCGTCAACGTCGCACCGCCAAGCGCCAAGTGCCAAGTCCACACGATTTTCACACAAGCCTCGGCCGCCACGTACATTGGCAAAGCTTCTTTGCACTCTCCCTCTCATTCTCCCTCCCACTCTCTCACTTCTCTCGTGCTCTCACTCATTCTCACATACTCTCATCTCATGGTCTCTCAAACTCACTCACTCTGACACTGTCAATGGCCATGTCAAGTACCCCAGCTTCCCAACTCAGTAACATATAACATCCTCGAAAGAAGAATGAGATATAAATACCAAGGAGCGGATGAAAATTCTACAAGCATCTCAAAACATGCAATGTGAACTCTAAATAGTAGCATTTCATCAGAATGATATAGGACAAGACTTTTGCTGTTAAAGCAAGCACACTTGAGATGAAATACAACATAGCACTTTGAGTCAACGACTGCATGAACCGACTGGCTCACCACACATCGCCGACGACACCATCAACCCTCTCTCTCCCCAGATCCCTCATTTGAGTTTGACTCTGCCGTCGCACTAGATTTTCAGACGTTCTTACGTAGATGCAGAGTTGGAGGAAGACTAAGCCTACTATACAGTACTTAGTCTAGATGGCGTAGAGGTAAACTCAATCGTTTGGCCCGAACACCTTAAAAACATCATCTCCGCATGCTCTTCGTCCGCCCGGCGACTTATCCCCGGTCCAGGCATCACCCCCTCATTCTGGAGACCGTGACCTTGCAGCCAAAAAGAGGGGGGGGGGGAAACCTATTCTACTCTCTTTCGCAAGTGAACTAGACTTCGTAGTGTGACTTGACCTATAGACTGCCCAAACCATCTCCACGGAGAAAGGAAGCACATCAAACCCAAAGCATAGGTCCCATCCCAATAACCAACTCGACGCAGCCTCGATATGTACGTACGCGTATGCCGCTCTACTTCCTACCAATCTCCCAACCATCATAATCATGAAACCATCAAGATCGCCCCCCCGCCCATGACGGGTCGGACCTTCGTTTCTTTCTTACAGGTACCGACCCCATGATTGCCTCCATTTCGGATGTCATCAGACGAGACCAGAAGAGACGTTGCCACTTCTCAAGCGCAGTACTCCGTCTCTTCAACAGTCCCAACGTCCCAGCCAAAAAGAATTCTGAAGTCCGTCGTCGCTTCGACCGCCAAGAGTCCGAGAGCTCCTCCGTGACGTGCTCAGCCACGCCTTGCCAAAAAGATTTAACCCATTCGCCGTCATTGCCACTGTTCGGGTCATCCCATGATTAGCACGCCGATGGGGACGAGACGATGAAGCTCAAGTAGGCAAGGCACATAGGTTGCCTCCTTGGATCGCTTCTTTGGATGGCCATCATCATACCTTATTCTAACATCCCCAGGTTGGGAGAAACTTGTAAACACACGAGTGATACACACAACATTGGACGCTTGGTGAGCACGGAAGCATGGCTATAGCCATCAACGTCATTGCAGTCTGATAATATTTGTATTCAGTCTTGTTTTGTTTTTTTAGAAAGGCTTTTGTTTTGGTTCAGCCGTGACTCCCCCCTATTTTTTGGCGGCATTGCGTCAGACCCAAACGCAAAAACCATGACGCAAGAAGAAGAGAAAAACAAGAGTCTTCCCCTGACGCCAAGTATGATAGATCGATAAGCAATTGCCGAGCATGTCTGCCTGGTTGTTCTTCTCGTGTCTAGCAAAGGCCAAGTTTCTGTCACAGAACCCCGCCGCGTCCGAAATCTCGACCCCGTCCGTCCCTTCTCGTGAACCAGATGCAGTTTGTAGGAGAGAGCCTAAATCGTGTAGACAGAGAACAATATAGAAAGGAAAAAGAGGAAATAAAGTCGGGAGTGGTGTGTGGTGTTGAGCGAGTCGCCCAAAGAAGTCTGTGCAGAAGAATGAAAGTTGGGATGCAGGGCATTGCAGCATCCTCTCATCCGCCCTGCACACAAATGCAATAACATGTAGTGGAATAGAAGACCTCCCTGTCCGTCAATCCCGCATCCTCCTCCAGGAGGACTTCGGGCTGGACCTGCGAAAACAAAACCATAAACGCCATGATCCTTTCCAGCCCCCATAAACTCAAGGAAATGATGCAGTCTGCGTGTTGCTGTTGTCCCCGCTGAACGCCTCGCTGTCGGGTAAACAACTGAAAAAAAAGAAAAAGAAAAAGATGTTCCATATCTGCTGGAGACGGCCTTAACACAACAGGCTTTGTCGGCCGGTAAATGTCTCCGCAAGGTTTTGCTAGGTATGCGAGCGCTCCTGTGCGCTCTTAGTTGTCCGACATCACAGATCGATCCACCAAAGATTTGGGCGTTGGCTCTTCATCTGCGTCCTCTCTGTTTGTCGGGAGCGGCTTCGGCGTCTCGTCAACGTCGGGACCGATTGTCTTGTCTTCTGAGCCTACGCCACTATCCGGGGGCGTACGCGTGGCTGCTGCTCGCAAAGCCTCGTACGAAGGCATGTCAATTTCCTTGGAAGGCGTCACAACTTGTGTGACAGGCTCCGGCGTACTTTCAGACCCAAAAGTGACACTGTCATGGCTATCGGCCCTCATCATTTCGATTCCCAACTTGGAGCTCGGCAGTAGCGGTTTGCCTCTGAATAGCTTGTCCCGGCCAGAGCCAAGCTCTTCGTCCTCATCGTCAGCCGAATCTGTACCCTCGGCAAGGCGTTTCTCCATGTGCTCTTTCCGGGCTTTCAGCTTCTCTACCGAAGGCGGCGGTGCCGATCGTCGAGTGTGCTCCAGCTGACCCGGAGCAGACTGTTGCGTCACTAGCTGTGGGAGCTGTGGCAGTGACTTTGGTGATTTGACCGGTTGGATAACTTCATCCTGGCTGATTCCCAGACCTCCTTCGTCCCAGTCGCCAGTGGCCTTTCTGCTGATCACCACTGGCACATCATCTGTCGACACTGACTCGGAATCGCCAAAGAGACTAGAGCTGATGGAGTCCTCACGCGAAGTGATGAGACTACTACCTGGTCGTCCAGCGTACAGCGATGAACTTGATGTCGGGCTGTCGTCTGTTCGAGAGCTGGTTTGACGAAGGCCAGAGGGCACAGGGTGAGAGTGTCCAAGGGACATTGAGAAGTTGACGCCAGGCGATTCCGGCTTCCATTGACAAAGATTCTTGAGAACTTCGGTGAGCTTTGAACTCGAAATAGGCTTCTCAATCAGCGAATCAAAGTAATGCGGAGCCTGCAACTCTTTGAGATATGCCGTAATTGCGACGATGGGCGTATGCGAGTTCGTGTTCTTAGTCTCCCGAATCATGCGGGCCACATCAGCGCCATTGATCTGAGGCAACCTATACTCCAAGAAGATGATGTCAAATTTGATCTCGCTCATGGCGTATCTGACAGCTTCTGATCCATTCGATACCGAAATGGTACGGCAGCGCAACTTCTCCAATAGCTTTTCCATGACCATGCGGGAGACCGGATGATCTTCACAGATTAAGACATCCAGTGGGCGGAACATCGGGCCCCCGTCAAAAGCAATTTGGGAAAGGCGACGGGAACTCTGGCGGCGACGCTGCACCCGGAGAAGTGCATTGTGCTTTTCGCCTTCGTTGTCGGAAGACGAAGGTGACATGTCGAAGACCTGGCTGCGACGATTTCGGTGGTGCGATAGAACGTCGGAGGTAATAGGGCTCCCCTCTTGGGATTGCGAACCAACAGTCAAAGATCTCGATCGGCTGCTTGAGGCCTGCCTGGGCGTTGACACAATTTTCTGCGGCGAGAGAGCCAGCGGCGGTGGAGGTGCAGCACCACGACCCTTGACGGGGGAAGCAGCTACACTGGTTGCTGCCTTCTGAAGGCTCGGCGGAACTCGGGGAATGTCGAGGGACGTAGGCTGATGAGCGCTCGACTGCTGCGAAAGGCTGGAGGAGTTGCTGGAGGCCTTGCGCCGGCCTTCGCTCCCTTGACCTGCGACGAACGAGACTAGTAGTGGCGACGATGGCTGAGATGCCCTGCTAGGGGATGAGGCCGCATGACTGAGGCCGGACGGTGATTGAGGTCGGTTCTTCGCGTTGGAAATTGTTCTTTGAATAGGATTGGCAAGTACCGGGCTGCCCTCAAGAGCTGGGCCAGGCGAAGTAACACTGCCGCCTGGACTCACGACGGTAGGTTTGTTTTGAGATGCCAATGCCTCTGCTCTGAGTTTTTGAATGACATCCTTGTTGGCCTTCTCGAGCACAGGAAGATTCTTGAAAGCGAAGCTGCCAAAGTCATCGGCAACTACAGGCTCACTAAGCCGTCTACTCTTCAAGTCCCGAACGTGCGGAGGAATGTGGAGAGGCATCAAGTTGCGTTTGATCGAGTTGACTTGAGATCGGACCCTGGACAAGGCGTCATGCGGCCGGTCATGGTAGTCAGAGCCTGCGCCAGAGACTGGCGGCGAGAGCTGATCCTCCATCTCCTCGGCAAAAGACTGCAATACGGCACCACGAGCGTCGAAGTATTCAGTATCTTCGGGGTGCTCGAGCTGAGGGACGAACTGAGCCTCGTCTTCCAATAAAGTCTCCCAGTTGACACCCTCAAACCAAGAGTGGCTGCGAATCTCGTCTCCACCGCAAGGGAACTTATCCTCTCGATTGGCTCCAAGGCGCGACTGGGGCTCCATACAGAGCAGCTTGTTGATCAGATCTTTCGCCTCATCTGAGATCGGTTCGCATTCGTTCTCATCTGGCCACTGAATTTTGCGTGCGAGGATATTTTCAAAGACTTGCTCAGCTTCGTCGGCATGGAACGGCGGGAATCCGTAGAGGAATTCAAACATGATGCAGCCAACAGACCACCAATCACTGGTCTCGTCTTGCTTCTCTCCCTTGATAGTCTCGGGGGCGAGGTAGTCGGGTGTCCCCACGAAACGGCGATTGGTGTCTTCGGGATCGAACAGGGCCATCGGCGGAGGCATCATCGTAGACTGCGGCGGAGTATTCTTTCCCAGGTAGTCAATGCTGGACTGAGTGCTGGTGTGATGGAGTGCCGCCATGTCTGGCGAAGGTTGTCCGGTGCTTTCACTCGCATCATCCTGCGTCGGCTGTGCGTTTCGGGCCGGGGCATTATGCTCTTGGTCGGTCAAGGAAAAGCTGTTGAGCATGCGGGCAAGGGTTTCGCTGCCGCCGCTATCGCTACGGTGGCTGGAGACTCGTCGGGCCTCCGGCCCTCCCAAGGCGAAGTATGAGGGCTGGCCCCCGCTGGAGCCAGTGTCAGGTGTCATCTGCGGCGTCATGCTAGGTGAGTGAGTATGGCCATGAAGGTCAAGCGAGGTTGACCGAGACGATGCCAGAGATGCTGAGCGGGCAAATGGCCCCTGCTTGAGGAGATCGGGCGTGGGGTCGGAATTCTGATTATCCAGCGCTCGCTTCTGTCGCCCAACTAAACCCATGCGCGATAGACCGAAATCTGTGAGCTTCAAGTGGCCCTTTTGGTCAATGAGCAAATTGTCTGGCTTGAGATCGCGGTGGATGATGCTCCGGCTATGCAAGTGTTCCACGCCAAGAACCACCTCACCCAGGTATTTTTTCACCCAGTCTTCCGGAAGACCACCCAGTACCTTGATTAGAGATGCACAATCGCCACCGTTGAGATACTCCATTACGAGATAGAGGTAATCTTTGCTGGAAAAGGTCCAGTAGAGCTTGGCGACGAATTCGCTGGTGCCTTGCCACATCATGATGGCGCGTTCGGCCTTGACGTTGCCCACCTGATTCTTAGCAACCATGTCTGCCTTCTTCAACACCTTGATGGCAAAGTATTCTCCAGTTGACTTCTTCTTGGACAAGTAGACACTGCCAAAAGCGCCTTTGCTGATTGGCTTGATGATCTCGAAATCTTTGATGGAAGGGGGCGCTGGCCTTGCCTGAGGGGGAGGCTGGTGGGCAGCCATTCTAGGGGATGGCGGACCTTTCATGACAAACTCTGACATGGCTGCTGAGGACTGTCGACGGTGGTGATTCGCTGGCAAATGAGCTGGAGAGCTGAAGTCACTCCCAGGTAGCAAGGGTGATGCTTCTGGAGACGTAATGCCATCTTGCGGAAACGGGAAATTGCGCGGCTTGATGATTCGTAGAGGGGACGACGGCTGGTTCATACGCGAAGGTGATTCTTGTCTTCGAGGTGAAGACGTACCGGGCAGAATGATGCTTCTGCGATGATGTTGTCTCGAGCTAGCTGCACGACGAAGATCGCCAAACTCGGATATTGGAGAGTCGGTACGCGGTGGCTGTCGAGAAGTCACAGAAGAAGAGCGAATGCTTCCATCGCTCTCTCCAGCGTCACTCTCGAAAAGCAACGACTCTCGCCGGGACTCACGGGCAGGTGCAGTTGGGTTCAACCCCCCCAAATTCGATCTTGGCGTCGGGCACTCTCTAGGGCTGCTTGAGCGCGCTGATTCCACAAAGGAGGTAGGCCTTGGCCTGTCGTTGTTGTCATTGAGGCTGACGTTTTGCAGAGCAGCTGCAAGGGCTGAAGGATTTTCAAATGATCCCTGGAAGAAAAGCTCCTCCTGCGCCGGTGTAGCTTGCTCTTCTTCCTCGTCTTCAGTCGAATCGCTCAGCCGACCTGCTGCGATTCGAGCTGCTTTCCGCATTGCCTCATCTATGCAGTCCTGGACGATAACAGCGAACTCAATTCTAATGCGCTCCGCATACTCGATGATTTTTCGGTGTCTGAAGACTGCTTCAACCTTGGTTTTCGCGGCCTTTTCAGTGTCGGCGCAGAGCAGAGCCAGGCCCTGTTCCTGTTCCAAAGTATTGGTACTGGGCGATTGCCATTGCATGACTTGTGAGATGCGGGACTCGGACTGAGGAGATTGCGTCCTGATCTCGCCGGGGTTTTGCGAGGAAGCCTCCTTCACCGCTGGAGTGCTGACTTCGATGGCGGTATCGCAGAGGTCAAGGAGCAGCTCGACAATCCTTGCTTGAGGACGTCTGATGGCGAAAGAGCGAGCTCTGGAATGACCGAAACCACCTGATCTCTCTCTCGATTGCGAAACGGAACTCCCAGGGGATGACGAGGCTGAAAGAGGAGGACCGATTGGCAAGCCTTTATACTCAGCAGCCGGGCCAGAAAGTTGGTCGCCCGTAAGTGGCCGGCTTTTTCTCGCCTCAAGAGCATCGAGGACTTTCACAATGGAGTGTCGGTGGTCCGTCAGACTGTCCTGCGCCATCTGCACGTCCATCTCTGCCCGATGCTCCTGAAGACACAGGTCGGTGTGTTTTTCGAACCACCAAGGAGAAATTTGTCGCTCGCAAATACGACACAGAACGGGCAAAGGCGGCGGGTGGTTTTCGGGGTCATCGACGCCAGACTCGGCTAGCTGCGTAAGATAGCTGGCGAGAACTTCAGCACCAGACCCAAGAGAGTCGACGATCACAGCAGGGAGGTCAATTTTGATCTCTCTGGGTGCAATATAGGGTCGGATCATCCACATTGTCTAGCAGGCTCTTTGTTAGCAAGGAGGTCAGGCTAATGACGGCAGTACGGATACTTACATGGCTCTCTCCCCCCGACACACCATCGTAGACCATGATGCCCTGGGCTTCCAGATCAATTGCCTCGGGAGCCCCTTCGTCGGCCTCATTGGGCTCCTGGTCTTGAAGGCCTTCGATGGGTAGCAACCTGGATAACGGACCCATTGCGACGGCGAAGCGTACTCTATGGCTCCGCGAGTCGTCCTTCTTCATGTACTCCACGGTATCCGCAAATGCCGTCTTGTTCTCGCTCACGATTAGGTCGGCTATCGCAGTCCCTTTGACCGAGTCGGGCAGAGTGCCTATCACATCGGTCCATGACGGGCTGACCCATCGAATAGTGCCGTCGAGGTTGAGGTCGAGAATGACGTTGAGAGTCTGCTCGGCAGCTTCACGTAGTTCTTCTCGTTCCTCTCGGATATCTTCGCTCAAAGATCGTTCCATGACGCCGGCCTGTGCCCGAAGAGAGGTCACGGCCGGTGGCGCCAGCATGTTGGGTTGTGGTGGTTCCATTGTGGAAGAGAAGCGGGTGAGATCCCGAATTGTTTCGATACCATTGGCCGGTTTGAGTCGTCTCGGCAAGCGAGGACTGTCTGGAGAGTGTGTGTTCGAGGTAGGGCGTGAAGATGTCGTGGCTGTTGCAAGTCGCGAATTGGATCAACTCGAGAGACCGAGTAAGAGCCAGGTTGTCTGGCAAAGGGCCAAGACTAAAGGCAAGCCAGACCACGAGACATGACGGGAATCGAAGCGAAAGGGTCCAAGGCACGAAGTCGCGATGGGAGCTCTAGTGTTGGACACAAGGCGCTGCCCACTCTGGTGCTAAGGCGTGGCAAGAGAAGTGAAGGTATTGTCGGCGACGAGCGGTCGGAGGCTCCAGGAAAGGAGCTCGGCAGTCGGAAGGGGTGGGCTCGATGTGGACGAAAGTGAAGGTGATCGAATGCCGGTGATAGTAGTGGTTCTGTTGGACCGACCAAGGTTTCTCCGTCGTCTATTCGAAAGACGGGCGTGGACGGAATGAGTTGACGAGGGGAGACGCGAAGGTGAACGCGACGATAGGCGTTGCAGTCAGGGCCAGAGCTCGCAAAGGTCGTTGGCCGTACTGGACCTTGTGTGTCGTTGTCAAACAAAACACCAAAAGAAACTCTGGTAGGAAGAAAAAAAAAGATCCCAGGGAACGGCACAGGCAAAAGTTCACGCCGCAGGGTGGCCCTTTGTGATGATGGTGTCAGTCACTCATTACCGTCCTTGCGTCGGCCTTTTTGCGTTTAGCACTTAGCAGCCCTCAGCTAAGGTACGTGGGTGGAAGGTACAGAGGAGAAACTCTCCAGGTCAGTCTCAACCAGGTCGGCAGGAGCCCAGTCAAACCAAGCCAGCACTATCCACGCCTTGAAGCAAGCAGGGCAAGAGGTACCCAGTGGTCGCGTCCTTATTATGGGTCTCGAGAAGCAATCAGTGGTCAAGGAGGTCGGATAAAGCGGGGATAAGATCCAGTCTGGCCAATCAAATGAGGATGTACGAGACTTAATCCAGTAGATGTACATGCATGACACGCCAAATCTGTATGCGACGCAGCGTACTTCTACTCAATGCAGTCTAGGGCCATAATCAGTTAGCTCGGTCGCTAAAACACGAGCGAGGGAGTCGGGGAGTCGGGTGTGACTTTTTGGGGCTTTTTTGGGGGAAGTGGAGGGGAAGGCAAGAAGGTAGGTGGAAGGGAAGGGGAGGGGAGGGGAGGGGAGGGAATGGGCAGGACCAGAGGAGAATCCAAGAAGAGGTGCCCGCCTGCCGTACTTGCCTTCACTTGACGCTACCAAGTTACCTAGCTGGGTACAGAGTACTGTGTAAGGTATTCACAAGCAGTCCACGGGTCACTTACAGTAAGGTACCTAGGTGTTACCTTTGGAAGACGGGACAAGAGGATGGGCGGAGATGGAAGACCACCACCTCACCAACGCACCACCTCGAGTCACACATTGGACGAGACGGGAATCGGGACACTGGCCCCTACCCTGGGCCCTGGCCATTGCATCACGCTTCGGCTTCGCTGGGCTGGCGGAGGGGCCGCCACTGGAGGGGACCACTCGGAGGTTTTGTCCACTGGAAACAAATCAACAACGGTCCAGCGAACAGGGCAGAGTTGTTGTGGTCAGTCCAAGGCTTCTTGTACACTATCAAGGTTCCATGCTCACTCAGTATTACCAGCATGGAACCGCTTTTACGGATACTCTTTGTTTCTTTGCCTCATCGCCATCATGGTCTCTTCCAAACTCACGACACACGCCACCAACCACTCGTGTGCCTCATTGGCATTCCCAGGTATCAGGCAGACGGAGAAACCGGGGGACTCCGAAGGCCTGCGGAGGGGTGGGAACAGGGAAAGGAGGAGGAGGAGGAGGAAGAAAACGACAACCCGGGAAAAGAAACGAGTTACCAAGGACAAGACGAAAATCAACAACGGCCATGCAAGAAATCCTGCGCAGCAACACTTACACCATGCATCGAGACCCTCCAAACCCACGGCCTGCCTTGCCCTACCACCCTCAACTCCCGGTCTTTCGCACACCCACACGCAACCTTCTGGTGTCTGTACGGATAGAGAGACAGTCACCGTGCTCGGCAAAGAGTCGGTCGTATCGTATCTCTCGAGCTTTGTTTTGCTTTCCACCTTGCCTTATCTTTGGTGTCGCTATCTATCTCCCTTGCACCCTCCAACTGGTAACAACAACAGACTCGGCGGGCAAATCAACGCTTTCGTCCCCTCTCTGCAGTGCTGCTCTTTTGCCTTTACTTCCGACATGATACACGTACCGCACCCCTTCTTCAAACTTCAGCCCAAGACGACCTTGTCTTAACACCAAGGGAGAGCGCCAGAAACACCAGCCCAGAGTTTGACACGGCCACATGGGAAACTCTGCTCCTCCGGCTCCCTTGCGCGGCACGCTAGCCAAAAATGCCTGTCTCTCGCAAAATGCCATTCATGGGTCAGTAATACGGAGACGGGCGCGGCTTAGTTACCAACTCATCTGGACCCTCCAAAGACATTTCTCCAAGGGTCCAGCAGCCAAATGCCATTCTCGCAAACACGGCTATCCCATCTTCGGTCCTCCAGCTCTCAGCCCCGGCCTTCCAACGCCGAAGCCGAGGCCACAGTCCACATAGTCCATCACAGGAGGCACAAGGACAACAAGCTAGAGCACAACTGTTTTTCAACGGCCACTCCTCCACTCCAAGTCCATTGTTGAGCGACGTAATCTAGTACCACCTACGACAGAGTACAGGGGGCCTTCTGTTTAGCAACAACCCACGCAACCCTCGTTTGTCTAGCTGACACCGCTTGACTTTGGATGGATGACATCCGCGTTTCCGCCGGTTAGTCAGTACAAGCCGACACCGCATGTTGGTCCCGACAGGGACTAAAGTGTAGGGCATGCTAGATGGCACTTGCATTGGGGCTTCCCGTCCCAGCACCATGCCATCGTGGTGAGACACCATCAGCTGGTCTCTTCGTCAAGAGGTGTAGTAGCTAATAGGAGAGAGAACCTCCTCTCGGGGTGTCGATACTAAACACCCTCGTCGCGACGTAGCCATGTGTGGCTTTGCCTGTATCCTATCGTGCCACGAAATGGCCTCCTGGTGCATGCTACTCGAAATACACCGTCACATTCGCGGCACCACGGCACCTCAGCCTGTTGGCCCCGTTCAAAACAGAAAAGTCCCCGGCTCGAGCTGTGTTTGCATTCAATACTCGCTGCCCGCGGTTTCCTGCGTTCCTGCTTGACCACAGAGTCCTCTTTACGGCGCCGCCGGTCCCAGGTTGTCACCCCTCCTCTGTTTTGGGGGCTGCGGATCTCTGTGAGGGACACTCAGATCGTCGATGGCCCATCCGGGATGGATCCCTTCGAGAATGCAAACGACCTGGCTCAAGCCGACCCCTCAAGACTGCGCTGATCTCCATTGGGCATCCCCAGTCCGGGGTGTCTCAAGTTTACAACAAGTGGCAGAGAGATTGAAATCGCCTCGTGCTATTTCTGACCCTGATGAAGCCGGAGCAAACGGTGCTCAAACAACTTTCGGCCCAATATCAACGCTGTCTCAAAGAAGACCTAGACAATCGCAGATTCCACGGGAAAGCCATTGGCATCTATGGGTGAAGCCAATAGAAATTGGTTTTTGACTAACATTCATCGGCTCGGGAAGGAAGGGTGACGACAAGTAATCTGCTACACTCCCTCTCCACTACAACTCTCATAGAGAACCAATTCACTTCAAACGGAGGTTGCAGAGCCTCGCAAGAACCGCAGTCTAAACTCGACTTTCAATGTGTGTGTGGGGGGGGGGGGGCTCTACGAATGCCTGACGTTGCTTCGTACTCCCCACACGCGCCTTTGAGTCTTTGCCATGACTGTTGGCATTCCCAGTTTGTCGTGGCACGCGTGCCACACTTGCGAATTTGTACACGCCTACTCCATGGCAGATACCACCACTCCAGGACAAGTGTTCAGCAACCCTTTCGTGCAAGGTCTTAGGTAACGTTCTCCGGTGTGCAGCTGCATGCTCCTCTACCTGCTCACCGGCCACCTCGGCCAGATCTCGACATTACGTTGAAGCGTGCCATCTTACACACTCCCATTGCGTCAACCTCAGCAAAGATAGAGATGTTGTCGACTTTGGTCACCCTGCAGCCTGCCAGCAATCCAGGGGCGCCACCCAATGCCCGGGGTGCTGTGGAACGGTACACGAGTTGTCAGCGGAGCAAAGGGAGTCTCGAAGCCGGAAAGACTGTCGCGAAGAAAACGTGCTCCACACGCCGCTCCGAACGACGACCCACGCGAGGAGTCGAGACAGGCTTGACGGTGTCATGAACCCGTTTCGACTCGCCCAAATGCGCCTTCACAACGGCAGTTCACCACAGCCGCTGGCACCACCATCTCACGACGTTCATGTGAGATGACAATACCATTTGCGGTGGTCCCCCACCGCCATTGCTGCTCACCGGGATCTCCCACCTCAATCCTGCTCTCTAGCATCCCCCCTACTTACTTGGACGCCTCGCAGCTTTAATAGCTGAGATCGACTTTAACTCCCCCCAAGACGCCCGCGCCAAGCGTTCTGCCCACATGGTGTCGCCTTTCCCGCCATCCTTGACATCCAAAACCAATCGGCGATAGGGTGAGTTCAGAATCTCAGCACGTTGAGTACTAACGCATTCCTGAACATCAACTATCGAATCACCTCGAGTTCCCAGCATGCGGGGTGTGCAGCGTGAGCACGTTGCTGCAGCGCGACACCCTCAAATGCTGTTCGTTTGACTGCCTCTATGCCTCTCTTCGACTTCTTTCTAATTCTTCGATGCTATCCGCTTCACCGACTAATCCGAGAAACTTCGTCATCCCGATCATCCCTGCCTCTCACACATACCCTGCAACCTTCTGTTCTTTCAGAACACCAGCTTCTCGAAAGCCTTCTCGCTAAGAATAGTCAGCAAACTCATGGGAACGCTTACACTTTCCCAG